CAGGACACGAAGCAGCTTGCTTCCCGTGTGGGTCCAGGAGCCTGGAGCGTCGCAGGGCCGACTCCTTGGCCCGCTGGCTCTCGCCCGGCGATAAGCCTGAGCCTGGAAGCACTCCCTAGCACCAGGGCTGATCCCGAGCCCGATCCCGCTTCCACTCCGGGCCGGCCGACCGCCCCAGCCCCAGCCCGACCACTCCCGGAGCGCGAGCCCGCAACTGGTCGAAGATCTGACCGGCTGCCCTGGCCCGTGATGACGGCGAAGGGAAGGCACAACGGTCAGGAAATTTTGATCAGCGTGTCGCGGCGGCGGCCCTGGCGACACGCTATGCCTTGCGAGTTGATAGCGTGTCGCTCCGCTCCGCGGGATGGGAGGCTGGGGCAAGCTCGGGACGTTGACATTGGGCGGCCTGAAGTGGATAGCGCGTCGCACCAAAGCGTGGTGGGCCAGAACCGGCGGAGCGACACACGATCCGAAAGTCCCCGACCGTACCACCAGGGACGCGAGATGAGGAACGCAGCCCCTCTCCTGACTCCCCCGAGCGCCGAGGTGCCCGAGGAGCGCCAGAGGAGCCACCGTGGAAAGACCTGCGGCTGAGGAACAGCGAGCCCCCCTCCGGACCCGAACTGCTCCTCCTCCTCCTCCTCCTCCTCCTCCCCCTCCTCCTCCTCCTCCCCCTCCTCCTCCCCCTCCTCCTAGCTCATCCTCCCCCTCCCCTCCTCATCCTCCCCCTCCCCCTCCCCCCTCCCCCTCCTCTCCTCCTCCTCCTCCTCCCTCCTCCTCCTCCTCCTCTCCTCCTCCTCCTCCTCCTCCTCCTCCTCCTCCTCCTCCTCCTCCCTCCTCCTCCTCCTCCTCCTCCTCCTCCTCCTCCTCCTCCTCCTCCTCCTCCTCGCCTCGGCACCCTGACGACGGGCGCCACCCACGCCCCACAATCCGGTCCCAACTGGCGGAGCGGTGTCCTGCGGGCTCCGCAGGCATTCGCGGAGGTGCTGGTGTCAGCCCGAAGCCCCAGAAGCCCCCGACCCCTTCCCTTGGGTGGGGGGCGGGGGGGGCTTCGTCGCAGATCCGTTCTTGATGGCCCCAGGCCCCCTAATGAGGGGGCCTGGGGGGCCATCAAGAGACCGGAATCGGGGCAGAACGCCAAGGCCGACAAAATCAGATGGCGAACTCCGAAACCCTGAACCCAAAAATGTTGTCACCTCCTGGAGGGCAATTTTTTACTTCCGCCGCCTTCCACCAGCCCCCCGCCGCCCTCCGCCAGCCTCCCGCCGGCGGAGGCGTCCTCGTTGTTTCCGTCCGCCGACCTTCCGCCGCGTTTTCCGCCGAGGAAAAGATGGCAACTTCTTCGATCCTCGAAGGCAAGCAAGGAAGGCTCTTTCTGGAAGGCCCCACATCGTCGGAGATCGCAGCCGCGACTCTCGGGAGCGGCCAAGAGGGGGGGGCGCAAATCATGGCCGGCGGCATGTGCGCGGCCCAAGGGGGGGCCAGGGATGCAATGGAAAAAGAAGAACGCCATGAAATTTGATGAAACATCATGGCCCACGCCATGATATCCACCCCCCCTACATCACCCCCCTCTTGGCCGCCCCCGAAACTCTGCTGGCGGCTCTCTCAGCCGCGACCGGGCAGAACGGTGGAAAACCGGTCCACCGGTCCACCGATCCACCGGTCCACCCTTCCACCGGTCAACCGGTCCACTACTCCACCGGTCCACCCGTCCACCGGTCCACCGGCCCACGGGCCCACCAGTCCACTGGTCCACTATACTCCACTGGCCCACCGGACCACCGGCCCACCAGCCAGAACGCGCAACCATTGCAGTCAAAACGTGTATAGAGGACGGGTGATCAGGACGCGAGACCCTTGGAGGCCGAAGTTGGGTTTTTGAGGGCGGCGGGCGACCAGTGATAATGGCAAGGACGGGCCTCAGAGGCAAGGACACAAGGGCACCCTAGATGAAGGCGCGCGTCCTTCCCAGACCCCCGACGTCGTGAATTTTTCATGACGTCGACCCCGAGAGGTCCCGACCCCTTCCCCAGGACCGGTTTTTCGTCCTGAGCCGTTTTTCGACGGTCCCGAGGGCCGGTAAGGGCCCCCAGAGGCCAAAAATGGCGAAAAACCTCCCGTCGTGATTTTGTCATACCTCGAGGGGGTCTGGGTTACCAGGCGCGTTGACTGTAGACCATCGCCCGACCGGGCGGGCCATCGGCGCACCGCACCCGCAGCTCCTCCTCCTCCTCCTCCTCCTCCTCCTCCTCCTCCTCCTCCTCCTCCTCCTCCTCCTCCTCCTCCTCCTCCTCCTCCTCCTCCTCCTCCTCCCTCCTCCTCCTCCTCCTCCTCCTCCTCCTCCTCCTCCTCACCCTCCTCCTCCCTAGGCGGGCCATCGGCGCACCGCACCCGCAGCTCCTCGGTGCACGCGCCCGCGGCGCGGCCGCTGCCGTCGGGCAGGAGCAGCCTCACCAGCACCCCGGCGCCGACCTGCACGCGCCGCCCGCGGGGGGGGGGCACTGGCCGAGCTGCCCGCGGAGGAGGGGCAGGCAGAGGAGTTCCGCCACGTGGTGCGAGGTTCTCCTCCTCCTCCTCCTCCTCCGCCTCCTCCTCCTCCTCCTCCTCCTCCTCCTCCTCCCTCCTCCTCTCCTCCTCCTCCTCCTCCTCCTCTTCCTCCTCCTCCTCTTCTTTCTCCTCCTCCTCTTCTTCCTCCTCGTCCCTCGTCGTCATCGTCATCGCCATCGTCAACATCATCATCATCATCATCATCATCATCATCATCATCATCATCATCATCATCATCAGCAGCAGCAGCAGCAGCAGCAGCATCATCGTCATCATCAGCAGCAGCATCATCAGAATCATCATCATAAACATCAGCATCAGCATCATCATCATCCGAATCATTATCAGTAGCATCACCATCATCATCAGCATAATCAGAATGTTAATCATCATCGTCATCACCAGCACCAACATGAATCTCAACATCAACAACAACAACAACAACAACAACAACAACAACAACAACAACAACAACAAGCACAACAACAACAGCAACAACAACAACACAAACAAACACAACAATAATAACAACAATAACAACGACGACGACAACAATCACTACAAAACTGTTCGTTTCGACCCGTCCGCGTGCCATACAAAACGTATATCCCAAACACTGAGTACCCGCCCTCTTCGTCTTCGATCATACCCCCCGTGGGGGCACATCTGCCTTACCTGACACGCACATGTAGCGCAGCCCCTAAAACAGGGGGAGAGAGGACGGATGGAAGGGAGAGGGAGAAAGATGGAGCATGAGAGAAATTAGCAGAGGGTGGGCAAGGAGCAAAGAACACGTGGCAGAACCAGACGGGCAAACCCGGCGGGCAGACCCTAGCGGACGGGTCGGGAAGGCGAGCCTAGGCGGCCAGGTCGAGCAGGCGGGTTGCTGAAGCGTGAGTCCTGCATGAATCGCGAGGAAGTCTCGAGCGACATCGCGATTCCCAAGTATATCGCGAGAAAAGCTGAAGCGAGAGCGTGATTCCTGAGTGTCGAAGGCGCACCGTCTGAATACATTGCGAGGAAGACCCACGCGAGAGCGCGAGTCCTGCATACATTGTGAAGGAGTCCCGCGCGAAAGCGCGATCTGAAAATAAATTGTGAGGAAATACCTGGCGGGAGCCGTTGTTGTTGTAACTCGGGTGCCAGGGGCCCAGTTTGGTGACGCCCAGCCTTCCCTTGTACAAGACAGGGTGCGAGCCCTAGGAGGAGCAGTTGGATTAAAAGCACAACAACCAACAAGAAGAAGAAGAAGAAGAACAACAACAACAACAGCAGCAATAACAACAACAACAACGACAACAACAACAACAACAACAACAACAACAACCACAACAACAGCAACAGCAACAGCAACAGCAACAGCAGCAACAGCAACAGCAACAGCAACAGCAACAACAGCATCATCATCAACAGCATCAGCATCAACAACATCATCTATCATCATCAACATCAATTACACGATATGAATACTACTCTCCTCTCTCCCCTGATGACGTCTGAAAGATATCGGGCCGCCCCCCGCGTATTGTTTTAGACAAACAGGATTCCCGCGAAAAGTGTGTTTCGCTTGGGCTTGTTCAAAATATTGCTCCCGCTGAAGCGCTGGCCCCATTTCTGCGCCTCTGGTTGTTCCAAATCCTGCTCCCGCTGCAGCGCGGGCGTGATCGGTCCATCCAGATAAGCCCAAAAATCTAACAAATGCCCCCCAATAAAAAAAAACCATCGGAAGTGATAACACGTTCGGTGCCGATTCGTTGATTTTAGTTGGCCGCACAAGCCCCCACACTTTGGGGCGTCATCGCTTTCAGGAAATATCAAGCTAGAGCCACTGTTTCTGCTTTGAGAAGGCGATGCTGGAAGCAGAGCCAGCAGGTGCTCTCCATCAGCCCCGCCTTGTGTGGAGATTTTCAGGGAGCCCAAGGACCTAGACATGGAGCCACGACTCCAGACCAGCCCAGACCTCTCAAAGACGATCCACTTACCCACCAAGGAATCCAGCGCCATGCCATGTCATGCTGTGCAGTGTTGCGTTCTGCTCCGCTGATGCCATGCTTTGCCTTGCAATTCTTTGTGATGCAATGCTTCACTGCACAATACCACGCCATGCTATGGCATGCTACGCTCTGCCGTGCTCTTCCACGCCATGCCATGCCGTGCTCTACCATACATCGCGTACCCTCTCGCGATCATTGCACTGCTCGACGTCCGACTGTGCGAATCGAGAGGATATCTGCGCCATGGTAAGGGATTGGAGGGAGGGGTAGAACGTCAGATATGACGCGAGCGCACCTAGCTTGTCATCACCCCCTCCCCCTTCGGCTCCTCAGACTCGCATCACGTGACGGATCCAAGGTGCCGAAAGGGAAGCAGGCCACTGAAAATCTGGGCGCCGTGAGAAAGCCAAGATGAATGCCGCTGCTCTGGCCTCCAGTCAGGTCGGAAGAAAGGAGTGGGGGCAGCAAAGGGGGGCTGGCGAATCAGCTCACGCAGCCTGGTTTCCCCGCGCCTCCCGGCGCCCGAGGCGATCACGTATCGAGGAAAGCGCTCGGCGGCGTGGCCGAAATCGGCTGCACACGACAGAATTCGTGCCCCCTCCTTTCCATATTCCCCCCGACCCGATCCGGAGCTCCATCTCGGGACACCAGTGGGGGCCCCGTGAGCGGAGACGTTCTGATAAACCGAGACGCCGGCGCGCCCGAAGAGAACTGCAACCGCGGGATCCTTCGCTTTCTCACTGCACGGACCTTGCAGACGTGCTGCAGCGGATTTTTGCGTGGACCTCTGTGCGTGCAAAACCCCGAAACGGCGAGTGAAAAACGAAGTGAATTTCGCGTGGATTTGTTTTAGTCTTCATTCCTGGCCAACAAAAAATCCGCACGAAATCCACCTCGAAATCCGGAACGAAATTCTCCAGGACACTCTGGGCCCATCCGATCGTTTTCCGAACGAAATCCGCTCTGCGATGTTGGCGCCATGAGTTTTACTTCCCGCTGGAACGGGCAGAGTCGTGGATCGCGAAGTCCTGGCTTCCTGGGCCCTGGCCCAGATCGTCGCAGATCAATCCGGCCAAGGCAAAACCCGGGCGTTGGCAGAACTGGGTTTAGTGGGACCTGGTTTAGTGACGTGTACTGGGAGACGCCCAATCCCCCCCCGCGCTGTTCTGATGGGCCTGTTTTCCACCATCACCACCATAAGTTGGAGAGGGAGGGGCTCCTCCTCCGCCTCCTCCTCCTCGTCCTCCTCCTCCTCCACTTCCTCCTCCTCCTCCTCCTCCTCCTCCTCCTCTTCCTCCTCCTCCTTCCCGTCTCCAACTGGTGGTGGTGGTGGAAAACAGGCCCATCATACTGGGGGACGCCCCCCCCGCCCCGTTCCACGAACCGGAACTGCCGCCACCCGAAAAAGCACCAGCCACGGCAGACCTGGTTTGGTGAATCTGGCCAATGTAGGGACTCCGGGGCCCTACCACTAGCCGGGTCCCCTTACCTGGGGCCCTGGCCATACCCGACTAGCGTTGCCTCCTGGTCTTCGGGCCAGAACTGCGCTCTCTGGCGGCCGTTCAAGACCTCCAGACAGCCCCGGAGCGCCCTCGGCCGTGGCGCAGCCGCTGGGGAGAACCACGAGGCTGCAAAGCAGCCGAGGACCACGGGAAACGCCCGACAATCTTAAACCTCGAACCCGAAGCGTCCCCCCTGAGCGCATCCCCCTCGCACGTCGATCCGGCCGAGACAAAACCCACATGATGTCGGGGGGGGTTCCTGCGTATCGTCCTCATCCCTCCTCCTCATCCTCCTCATCAGCATCACCATCATCATCAGTATCCTCCTCCTCTTCCTCCTCCTCCTCCTCCTCCTCCTCCTCCTCCTCCTCCTCCCTCCTCCCTCTCCCCCTCCTCCCTCCTCCTCCATATCATCATCATCATCATCATCATCATCATCATCATCACCACCACACCACCACCACCACCACCACACCACCACCACCACCATCATCATCATCATCATCATCATCATCATCATCATCATCATCATCATCATCATCATCATCATCATCATCATCATCATCATCATCATCATCCCCATCGTCGGTCGGTCGGTCGGCCGGTCGGTCGATCGGTCTGTTCACAGGGGTCGGAAGAACTACCCATGCAAAAGAAAAGAAGAGACGAGGAAGGGCTCCACTAGCTCCTTGATGAAACACGCGGGCCGCGCGCGCGCAGAACGGCCCAAGAGGCCCCCAAGACGGCCCCAAAGAGCCCCAAGCCGGCCAAAGAGGCCTCCAAGACGCCCAAGATGGCCTCCAAGACGGCCCTGAGGGCCCCAAGTCGGCCCATAGAGGCCCCCAAGACGGCTCCCGACGGCGTCAGACGGGCCAGGAGCCCACCAAGACGGCCCAAAATGGCTCCAAGATGGCCAGAGACGGCCCAAGAGGCCCCAAGAGGTCACCAAGACGGCCCAAGAGGTCCCCAAGAGGGCCCCCAGGAAGGCCCGAAGAGGCCGAAATCATTGATTTCCCTGAGGTGTTTGAAGAACTTTGGCATTTACTTCTTTTCGGCCTTCCGATGGCCCGAGACGGCCCAAGAGCCCCCAAAGATCGCCTCAAGAACGCCCAAGAGGCCTCCAAGAATGCCCCAGAACGGCCCAAGAGACCCCCAAGACGGCCCCAAGAGGGCCCCAAGACGGCCCAAGAGGCCTCCAAGACGCCCAAGATGGCCTCCAAGACGGCACTGGAGCACGCTCAGAGGGCCCCAAGTCGGCCCAGAGAGGCCCCCAAGACAACTTCCAACGGAGTCAGACGGGCCGGGAATACCCTAAGACGGCCACAGAGGCCCCCGAAAAGCCCCCCAAGGCCCCCCAAGAGGCCCAAGGAGGCCCCCAAGATGCCTCCAAGAGGCTCCGAGGAAGCTCCCAGCAGGCCCCCAGTGCCCCCAGAGGCTTCCAAGATGCCCCCTTC